ACGATTGTGAGTTTCGGCTCGAGGTCCAAGACCACCCATATTTCATCTAAGGCCGGGGTGCGTTTTCACAGTTGTGAGTGACATCTCATGCTGAGAACATTACTGCTAGAGGTATAGAATCGGTACTGCGTGCTTCTATAAGAAAATTAGGTACCCATGCGCACACCCCCTTGACCATCCTCAGTTTATCGGTCATAACACGTACAGTAATTGCAGCAGGAATGTACAGCCCCACCGGTCCGCAATGATGAGAACTGTACCTCTTCATTGTTTATGTTTTGCAAGGAACAATGTCTGGTTTACGTGTCCGCATTATCTTCATGATTTTCTTGATTACCGGCAGGAAAGTCTATCTCGAAGCTAGTTATTGATGGCAGATGAATTCGGGCTGTTGCTGTTCACCGATAGAATACCCAACTTTCTCGATGTTAGGTCGAAATTCCAGACTCCGCTAGAAATGTGTTTGCAAGACTGATAGATTTATTCCGCTGAGCATGAACAGCATGCGGTCTTAGTGCGAAAACCATTGTAAATTATGGTGGGCTGACATCCTGCGTGTCCCATATTCCTCTGTACAATCTAGTACAACATGAATATCACACAGTTTATTACAATCGTATTATCGGTATTGTAGAGCAATCGAGTAACATTTCGTGTCGTATCTTGGTCCGGCCACCGTGCATGAAGGGTCCTAGGGTTGGCGGAGTCTGGTCGGATGTCGTTTTTTGCAGGGCTCCACTACCCAAGAATCCCGTTCAAATGCGTTGTCTCCGTCTCCTATAATCAAACAAGTTCATCGAAGCCTTAACATACTGATCTGTAATCCTATCGCCGGCTAACCTATACACCTCCCCCTTTACAAAACACGTACTTCCCCGGACGTTAGCAATAAAAAAATCAAAGGGCGTTCTAATGAAAGAAGTAAGAAAATGAGTAGGAGCTTACCATGCTTATGCGAAGATGCCCGGCAACGTGGATTGACTAATGATGACTTCTCTTGCGGCAGCCCACTGCAGTACCTTCCCCAGTTTGGTCGATGTCGGAGCGGAGTCGTTGACATGAGGACGGTGTCAATTTCGCGGGCCTGAATCGAGTCGACGGTGTGAAGACGAATGTCGGGGTCCGGATTAGTGAGTTCGACGGGCGCTGGGAATCCTCACGTTGATCATTACAAAGAGAAATGTAGGAATTAGTAGTGTTAATCTTTCAGCAACTTAGTAGTGTTAATCTTTCAGCCATGAGGGAGCGGTGGTATGCTGGTGTGCCGTGGTTAAAGATCCAATCCAGACTAGAACATTGGGCAGTCGTTCAGAGCAGGATGGGCCCTGCATGTGGTCAGCAAGAGGGCCAACGGAACTTCTCTGCGAAAAAGGAGATCCATAATTCCCTCCTACAAGGCGAGCCGCCGATGATCACGGAGGTCAAGCGCACTTGTGTGGCTCCACTGGAATATAGATATGTGTGCAAGGGGCAATCGTCTGGTAAGAGCGACGAAACTGAATCGCGTAGAGACTTAATCACCGATAATGACAGTGCAGGAAGCTAACGCGTCGTGGAAACGACCGCCTGGATTGGTAGAGTACAACAGCGAAGATACAGTCATACACATCACGGACAGAAAGGGATCGCAGAGCAGGACGGCTACCACTGCTCGGTGGCATACTGAGATCCCTCGCTGATGTGCGCGAACACGAATATTTCCATACAATATTTTCTATATTAAGCCATTTCCGGTATCAGACTAGGTCCTCATGGGTGGCCGAGGCTGCTGTCGGATAGAAGCGTGGCTTCAGGCCCGAGGCCTGGCAGAATCACGGGTATAGTCCCGAATGCCACCCAATACTCTTCCTCCAGATGCTACCATCCTCTTCCGTTCAATGTTTGTTGGACAGCTCACGCCATCATCGATCCTTAACGTGATTCATCCGAATCGCCCTGATCCCTGTCTGAGCCGCTAAGGCTCTTACACCTCCCCATTCCACCAAAACGTCCGTCCTCGGACGTTGAGTAAAATGGACGGGGATCAACGAGAACGGGTGAATGTCGTAACGTAAGCAAAGGAGAAGGTAGTGAAAGAAGGAAAGAAAGGAATCAATAAGCAAAGGAAGGGAAAGACAGGTATAGCGACAGTAAACACTATCGATGTCCTCCTCTAAGCGAAGACGTCGGGAACGTCGGATGGTTAAATGACGACGTCGTGGCTTTGGGAATACTGAATTACGCGGTTCCAGTGCGAATGGTGCTGCAGTGCACGAGGGGAACCTAAAACAAATTGCAGCGGGTCAGGGCCACATTCATCCGGGTGATGTCGTTCAAAAAGTCTGCGGAGGCTGTGTCGACGTTCGATCGTGTGGTAAGAAGGATGAGACGTTCATCTCTCGTCCTCACACGGATCCACCGTGTGAAGCGCGACTAACTGGCGCGTGGCATATTCCTGGAGTCGGGTGGTTTGCTCTTTGAAAAAAGGCATGATCCCTATGGCATACGGCGGAACATTACAGGATAGGAGGCTCTGATGATGTCATAGCAGCACTGCTCTTCCTCCTCGCTTGTAATGAGACAGGGAGTAAGATTGCCGCGAGCTTCCGTGAACGTTGACGAAGACGAAGGGTACTCTCAGGTTAGGAATGGATAGATGGCATATCAGACGAGTGCGCATGTGCGCAGGTGTTCTATAGACGAGCGTTCCTCTATACACCAGAAAATTCGGTCACTGATTGAGAGCTGGATGAGCTCGGAATGTCGTTACCAGAGGGGCGAGTGGGACGTCCTTTCTAAGCGGTAGGTCCATGACGCCACGGCTCCCTAACTGAGCGGCCAATGAGTTCCGTGGGCATTGCAAGTTGAGGCCTGGTGGAGTCTTCAATATAGATTTGGCGTGCCTGCGGAACACGAGTGACCATGGTGACAAAGACTCGGGAATTTCCGAAGCTTCGTTACCGATAGTTGTCCAACAGGAAGCAAACACATCGTAGAAGAGGCCTCCTGGACGGGTCGATTTGAGCAACTACGTCGCGATGAGACAGCGAATCGTCGGAAACTCTATGCGAAGCATGATGCGCAACAGTTTTCTCAGTAGCCACTGGATTATTCACCTCCTCGTGCATTCTTCTCGCTCCTCGTCCGGGCTGTAGAGCGTCTCCTCGGGGTGGAAAAGAAGAGCTCCGACGAGGCGACGCCCACGCGTGTAGCTCTTGAGTCGCTTACGCTCGTGGGAGCTAAGAGCATTGTAGTAGTTGGCCAACAAGTCATCAAGGATCGTGTGTAGCAAAGCGCCCTTCTGCAGCGCCGTATAGGGGGCAAAACGTAGAATCGTCTGGTGCTGGCAGTCATTAAGGTTGAGAAGAGTATCAGTAAACTGAGCTACTGCCACATTTGTGGTAGCGGTCGCTATCACTAGATTGCCAGCGGAGGCCAATCGGCCTGCAATCAGAGCGCCCACCATGGTTTTTCCGGTGCCGAAAGCGACCTCGATTGCCAGTATCGGGTGCCGCTCTTCGCCCATCACAATCGCTCGCGCCTGGACGACGCGCAGCTGAATACGAAGCGAACTGACTCACTGTAACGCTCAGATTCTTCTGAGGAAAGATAAGGACGCCCTGAAAGCATCATGGCGATGAGAAAGGCCGCCTGCAGTGATCGTATGTTGAAAACAAAGTTCCCCCTGCACAACGTTGTGGATGCCGAAGGTACGTTAGCTGCCAAGATGGTGATGATAAGGCGGCGGCGCGCCGAAATGCTAGACCGCGGCGCAGAAAATGTAAACATAGCCGTCACCAACCGTTTATGCAGCGCAGACTTGGTACTATCCTTTGCTCATGCAACTTGCTACAAAATGAACAGAATCCAGTCAACGCGATAGAAAAGGAAAGAGGAGAAACGACCGAAGGAAAAGGCAAATGAAAAAGGAAAAACCGAATGGCACTCACCCGATAGAAGGGACAAGGAGTGAGAATCAAAGTGAAAATTTGCTCGGAGCTGAAGAGGATGGGACGGCCCATCCTCTCCAGCTTTAAGCAACAATGTAGTAAAGTGGAAACTGGTCATAAATAAGAACAACTCATACGTAACCAAAGAAAAAGGAGAAAAATATTATTCTGTACATGGCGACAGGAGATAATGGTCCACCTCTCCCCGAGAATCAGGGAAATGACCGTGTGCTCAAAACGAGTCGTCGGTTGTTAGCGATTAGGAAAGATAGAGCAAGAAAAAGGAAGGCGATGTCGCTGGTATTTAAAGGAGAAAAGTCGTTCGACCGTGTAGCGATGATTCAAAAATTTCGATGGTGAGGCTGACTCACAAAAGGAGAGAGAGCAAGCGAAATGAGAGGAAAAAAAGCCAGAGAGGCGAGAGTTCATTGGCCAGACACAACGTAGTCAGGAATATAGGAACTCGACGGAGCCAAGCGAAACTTAAAACCTATGAAGAGGAAAAGGTCCTAATGAAGCACAGCTAGCTGAAGTCCTAAGGAGATCAGAAAGCTGTTCGTGTGAGCATCACTAAAAAAAGAGGAGTGGAAAAGCTATCAAAGAAAGGGAAGTAAGAAGGCGAACTAGAGAGGTAAGGGAAGGAAAAAAAGGATAAGTTGAAAAAAAACTCACCAATTTCATTCATCCGAGTCGCGTTGATACCTGTCTGAGCCGCTAAGGCTCAACAATCAACGAGAACGGGTGAATGTCGTAACGTAAGCAAAGGAGAAGGTAGTGAAAGAAGGAAAGAAGGGAATCAAAAGGCAAAATAAGAGAAAAACAGGTGTAGCGAAAGTAAACACTCACCATTGATGTCCTCCTCTATGCGAAGACGTTGGGAAGGTCGGATGGTCAAATGATGACGTCATGGCTTCGGGCCCACTGAATTACGCGGTTCCAGCGCGAAAGGCGCTGCAGTGCGCGAATTGTGATTTTAGGCGATGCTATATTCCTCGCGTTCTTCGTCTGTTAGGAACTAGTGGATTTGGAATGAAAGAGAATCTGCTAAACGAGACGCCGACCGTGGGCATACTCGGCTAAGATGGGCAGGTTCTCGCGACCCATCTATACGGACGTGGCTTGATCAGCACGAAGATGGAACTCTGATGCACGCAAGCGTATCCGGATAGGACGAACTGGTTGGCGGTCGAGCCAGGTGGCGATTTTCCTCACTACGGGGGCGACTGCCGTAGACCAGATCCAAGATAGTGTTTGCCAGATAGGGTTAATAGTACGCCGCGCTGAAGTGCGGCAGACCCATTTCGGCTAGAAATTCGAAGACGAGGTCCGTTCTAGAATGGATGCGGCCGAGACAAGCGCAGATGTGCGCATCTGCCGACATCACATCATCCCTATTTATTGTTCCGCAACGACGAATGGTTGTGCACAGCCGACGGTGGAGCTAGCGATCCAAAGGCAGCTCGACGCGGAGTGTCTTGTTATTGTGCAGTTAGAAATTCGGAGAAGAAACTGCGCTTCAGCCAGTAATAACAGACGTGAGCCAACGACCCAGACATCAGCAGGGTGGAACGGGACCGTCCTCCCTCCGTGGATATCGAGTGAAGCTCGGACTGGAGAAGAACAGGGATGGCATTGAAGGTGGAGACGAGGGTAAAGTCGGGTCTCGTATTATATCGTATAAGGTCTGCCACGCGGGAACTTTTACACACCGACCTCAAACTTGGGCAATTAAACTTTTATTTAAGGAACCAAATAATAACAATAATAACAATAAGGAATAAATCATGGAATGCCCAGAATAATGAAAGTTAAAAATTACCTACGTCTACTTTTGTGTCGCCTTTTAGTGCAGGAAAGGCGCCTTATAGTGCAGTGATCGTGCTCCTAGAAACTTTTAGTGCAGTACAACAGGCAAGGGAAATCCAAAGAGATGAAACAATAAGAAATAACAAGAAAGAAACTAACTAGTTACCTTCAAGCTGCCTACGGTCGCTTTTATGCCCGGCCTGCTTGGGAAAGTTGCAACGCGGAGGAGAGGTTTCATCTGATAAGCTTGCGAGAGACTACGATATTCTCATAGTTAGCAGAGTAAGAATGCGATGAACGGTTAAACATTACGGTTAATAGAAACAACATAAAGGAATTTCATGAGAATTATACATATGATGTGAGAACAGTTACAATTAATACGTGTGATCAAAGTACAAGTTGTCAGAAATAAGAAGTTACTGAATATATTTATATTCAGTACAGAGGGTGTAGTTCCGCGCGGCGACTTGTCGTCACCCAACAGGGCCTGAGCTGAGAGAGCGGCGCTGGCTGCAGAAAACAATTTGCCCATTCGGTGGCGGCCAAATCTGGATCTTGACCATGACTTGAGTAGTGGCCCATACGGTCCTCGACCCAATGGCGGTCTTCGCCAGGAGCTCTGGTGACGTGTATCGGCAGTGCGGCTTCTTCCGAATAGACGGGAAGGAAAGGTCTTATGACATTCGTGAGGCTCCGTTGGGCAGCCACGGAAGGAGGCCATGAGAGGAGCGCATCGCACATGAAAAGTTGGCCCGGGCTCCTGCTAGCAGTAGACCTTCTCGCGAACTGGTTCAATGGGATATTGCGGAGGGACGTAGAAATACGAATTCCGACATTCCTTAAAGCAATGTGAAGATTGCGCATTTCAAGACGTTCCGACGCACGTGACGGTGGCACCAGAATAAACTCGTACACCTGCAGAAAGTATGGCCGGCAAGAGTCCAGGACAGAAGGAGCCGGGAGGCGCGCCTTTTTCAGGACTTTTAACGATCTCAA